TGCGACGCACAGGGGCTCGCGTAAATATACGTTGTTCTTCAAATCGCGTCGTCGCGCGCGCGTGCCACATCGCCGTTGCAGCGGTTCCCCACCAGACTTCACGCGACTGTCGTCGTCGTCGTGAGATCAAGATCGTCGTTTTCGTCGTCGGTATCGTCGTCGTCGTTTTCAAATCAATATGTTTTGGGTCATGGGTGGGTGGGACAGGTCCAACAGGCTTCAAGTTTGGGCTAGTGGGCCTTACACCCTAAACCCTGGACCGCGGAAGGAAAACAGCGTGCAAACGAACTCTGGGCGGGACAGAAAAAACAAAATTGTACAGAAACCGCTCCAGCAACATGTGTCACGACCACGTAAAAAGTATAACCCCACGGCCACCAGACACCTCCTGGACGTATGTGCACGGGCATAGGAAACCTCTGCCGGCGTAGGTGCACGGGCCTTGCAAACCTCTGCCGCCGTAGGTGCACGAGCCCAGGAAACCTTTGCCGACGTAGGTGCAAGGGCACGGGCTTAGGAACCCTCTGCTGGCGTAGGTGCACGGGCCTTGCAAACCTCTGCCGCCGTAGGTGCACAGGCCCAGGAAATCTTTGCCGACGTAAGTGAAAGTGCACGGGCCTAGGAAACCTCTGCTGACGTAGGTGCACGGGCCTAGGAAATCTCTGCCGACGTAGGCGCACGGGCCCAAGAAACCTGTGCTAGCGTAGGCGCACGGGCTCAGGAAACCTCTGCCGACGCAGGTGCACGGGCCTAGGAAACATCTGCCGACGTAGGCGCGCGGGCCTAGGAAATCGTTGCCGGCGCAGCCGCACGGGCTTAGGAAACCTCAGCCGACACAGGTGCACGGGCCTAGCCCGTCGTCGTCGTCCGACAATCAAATTATGTTCACAATCGGTCACCAGAACCCCCTGGTGTCCGAACGCACCAGTTTTCCGACCTGCACCCAGCCGTGGCGGCGAGAAAACTCGCCGAAGGCCACCTGCCAGTGTCTCAAACGGCCCTCCGCTCAGCCGCTCCTGCTGCCGTTCCCTCCGCTCCTGCAGCAGCGTGTCTGGTCCGCCGGCCCTCCCTCCCCCCCTCCCTCCCTCCCTTCCTCTCTCTCTCTCTCTCTCTCTCTCTCTCTCTCCCCCGCCTCCCTCCGTCTCTCCGTTCCTCCCTCTTCGTTTCTCCCGCCTCGTCGTGGGCGCGTTGGAGGACGAGGCAACAGTGCGCACGTTTACACACAGGCTCGTGTGCACCACAGGGCTTGTGTACGGCCTAAGGGATTTTCCCGGACCCTGAAATGCATCTTCGAATGCTTAAAAATAAGGAAAGTCCGACGGTCCGGCCTGAAAACTACAAAACCTTATCAAACGCCTCCACCGCACAACAAAACACGAACTGACATTTTGAGGCCTCCGCCCCAAAATGGCACCAAGATTCCCTCAGAGGCCCCCGAAAAGGCCCAAATCAGGCGCAAAAAGTATCTCCCAATACGCCCTTTAGACGAATCAAAACGCCCCCAAAACCCTTTGCAAGAGGCTTCCGAAGGCCCCCCATAGATCCTCACAGGCATCCAAGGTGCCCCCGACCAACATCAGAGATACCGTGGCGGGATACGCCAAAGGCCACTAGATTTGCACGTCGCCGCGCAATCCGACTGAAACTGAACTTGCTGCCGAACTGCATATCGACATGCATATCGATGTGAACTCCCCCCGCCAGACAACCACAGGGGATTCACAAAACATCCATTGAGACAGCCACGGGACAGCACTTTTTACAATCCGTAGGGGGGCCCAGCGGCGAGAACGGGTGACAACAGAGCGCAGAGAAGCCGGAAACGAGGAAGGAGGAGGAGGAGGAGGAGGAGGCGGGGAAACAAGAAAGCACAGCAGCGCGCCCCGGCGAGCGCGAGGGGCCAGCGGCAGCCCAAAGCGGCCGCCGCGCAACTAATTAACTAATTAGTCTGGCGCGCCCGGGCGCTCCAGCAGGCGCCGTCGCACAGCCGCCCGCCACGCCGCCTCGCGGCCCCCGGCGCGCGGGGCATCCAGGAGCAGCAGGCCGGCCGCCCGCGGGGGCAGGTGCGGCGCCCATCCGCTGCACGGGCGGCCCGCGAGGCGCTCCCAGCGCGGGGCCCTGCACCCGCACGCCATGCAGGCCACCCAAGCGGGCCCTTGGGAGGCGACGTGCCCCCGCCAAGCGCTGCAGGCGAACAGCGCCCTCGCCGCGGCGGCCGCCCCAGGGCCTGGCGCCGCGCGCGCCTGTCCCTGCTCTGCCTCTGAGGCCACCGCGGCCGCAACCGCAGCGTCGTCCGCCACGCGGGGCACGCGGCGGCGGCGATGCCCCGCCTGCGTCCAGCGCCGCCGCACGCGCGGGCCTCCAGGGCCGTGCCCGTGGTTGGCCTTGAGCGCCGCGAGCTCCACCGCGGCGAGAACGCGCTGCACGGCCATGAGCGCGATCAGCTGCAACTCGCGCTCCTGGCGCAGCGCCAGCGGAGGCAGCCGGGCCTCGGCTGCCACCCCGGCGAGGCGGTCGGCCGCGGCGTTGCCGGAGCGGTCCTCTGGCGACACACCTCGTGCCTGGGCCTCCGCGGCGTCAAGGTGCCCCTTAATCCATCGCACGGCTAGCGCGTCGCTGCGGCAGTGAGGAACGATCAACTCCCACAGGTCTGCGTGGGCCCAATCCTCGGTGGACGCCCCAGCCTTGATCGCCGCGACGCCGTTGCTGACAAAGCGAGAATCGGTCACTATCTCGACGGCGCCGCCTGCCAGGCTGGCGGCATGCACCGCTGCTGTGAGCTCGGCGCGCTGCGCGGTCTGCGTGCCGTCGACAGGCCCGCTGTGCTCCTGACGGCCAGCGCCCTGGTCCAGCACCACCCCCACCCTGCCCTAGCGAGGAGGGGGTCGGTGGGGTGCACGCAGCCACCGTCCGTCCAAGCGCGCGCCCGGGGTGGCTCAGCAGCGCGGGCCTGCAGGGCTGGGCGCGGCAGCGGCCAGTGCGCCTGGTCCGCCAGCGCAGCCAGCTGCGGGTGCTGGGGCAACACCCCGGTGAGCGACGTCTGGGCCGGCAGCCGCGCGCGCGCCTCGGCGCGGGTAAAGCCCTCGGGGACCAGCGCGGCGGCGCGCGCGGGTCCCCAGCAGGGAAAGCCCAGAAGCGGTGCTCGAAGTCGTCGCACGCCGCGCCGCAGTGCGGGCATGCCGCAGGGCGCCCCTATTTCGCCGCCACCGCCTCCGTGACGACGTTTCCAGTGAGCACGGCGCGGAGGGCCCCCGCGGCGTCGGCCGCCAGCTCCCCGCCTTCGAGGAGCCGCCTGGTTGCCCACCTGTCGATTCCAGTGTCTAGGTGTCGAAAGCTGGCGCGCCGCCCTGCCACCTCACGGGCCTCGCGGGCTGCCCAAGCACGGAGGAGAACCGCGCGCGTGTCGGGCAAGGCGGTCGGCCGGGCGCCAGCCGCCAGGCGAGGTGGCCACACCAGTCCAGCACTCGACATCGGCCCCCAACTGCAACTCCGCCAAGCTCCGGATCGCCGCGTCCACCGGGCCAAAGCCGCGGCCGTGCCCCGCGGAAGCCACGGGACAGCACATGGGACAACCCACGGGACATAACACCAAAAAACCCACGGGACAACCAAGAATTACAGTTGTGCCCGGACAGAACACCTGGGCGCACAACCCGAAGGGAGGTGCTCAAGGTGCCTGCATGAATTCACATGCAACCGGACCTCGCAACATGAACGGCGGCACAGACGGCCACCGGCACCACCCCCACTTGCCCGCCGGCCTCAAGCAGCGGAGGCCCCGCTGCCCAAGGACTTAATAAGTTCCCGCGCCCCCCCCGTCGGGGGACCCCTTCGAGTCACCCCATCGGGCCTCTCAAGGGTGGCACGGCGGGCCCGCACCTCCTGTGGCTGGCCAACCACAGGGCAAGAGTCTCTCCCACCGCCCCGTCGAGTTGTGGTGACGATCGGCTTGCCAACCCGCCTGTTTTCCTGGGACGCCACGAGGGCACCCAGTGGCACAGGTGCCCAGAAATTAAAGCCGCGGATACCTAATCAGCCGAAGTGTCTAGGATCCAGCTAGCACTTGCTGTTTGCCACGTGGTAGAGCGCAGGTGATCCTTTCCAGCTAGCCATTTTCAAGCGAAATGTTTGCTGCAGGTATCTGCACTGAGGCTCCATCGGCAGGGACTGAAGATATTGACGTGAAGGCGGCCTTTGCGGTCAAGCCGAGTCCAACTTAGGTTGAGAAAGAAGCAACCCACACAGCTAATCCTTGAACAAATTATTGGACAACCGCTGGACAACGACGGGACAACCCAAGCAACAACCACGGCAAGAGAACCCACGGGTACCACGACCAACCCCAGCGCCACACCAGGAGACAGGAGGATTGACATTGTGCACGCCTTTTGGCCGTAGCTCCGGCCGGCACATCATGCCTTCGCGCAGCCTCCCCTCGCCCGCGCACGCGACATGAGCCGACACCGAACACGACGTCGCGATTGGGATCACTTCGCAATCGCCCCTAACCTCCGACCACCATCATCGTCACCGTTACGTCAGCATCGCCATGATCGTGAGCATCGACCAGGACAGCGGGTGCAAGTCCAGCCCACATCATTGGGGCCTATGCAAGCCCGCTTAGGCAGGACGGCGTAAGCTTATATGGGAACCAATGTTTGTACAGATATCGCTTGGTAGGCTAACTTTGGGATGATGTGGTTGGGTCCGACCTGATTGTAAGACGAATATTTCGGACCAGAATACATACGATACACTGTCCATATGCTGGCCCGGATTTGATGCAGCGAAGCGCTGCTGATATACAAATGTCTCGGCTCCTTGCCACATCTCCTTCCTCATGGTCCAAATCCCCGCCCTCCTGATAACCCCCCCTCCTCAACATCATCGTCATCGTCCTCCTCCTCGATATCCTTCTATACCTCGTCGTCCACAGCCACGTCCCTACCGATCCGCTGGTGAGCAATCATCCACCCCCCCGTGTTTCAACCCAGAGGGACCTCGTCTGCGTGCGAATGAGATTATGGGCCTCATCCAAGAGCACAATCTTGTCCGAGTAGACGTTATCGTGCTGGGTGCACGCTACCTGTGGACAGACGGAGACGGCATGCAATACCCCCCAATTCGAGTACTTAGATCGTGTAGTTCCCGATGTGAATCCTCAAGCGTGAGCATGAGCCTCAAGCATAGCTTGAATGTGGAGTTCATGTGACGGCTGTAATTCCGATAAGTCCTGCTTCGTCTGTTCTTCTGTGTACTCATCCCTCCATCTCATCCGCTTCCTCCTCCTGCTCCTCTTCTTCCTCCTCCTCCTGCTCCACCACCACATCCTCCCTCCCCCACTCGTTTCCTCATCCCTTCCTCGTCCTACCCTGGTCATATCACCGCTCCGCATACATATCCTCGCTCCTCCTTCGTTCCCTCCTCCTCCCTTTCCTCGCTCCTCATCGTCTTCTCCTCCTCCGCCTCCTCATCCATCTCACATTCCTTCACGTCCTGTTCATTGTCATCATTTCCTTCCGTCCCATGAACAGCATCATCGTCAGCATCATCATCCGCAGCAGCATCATCATCATCATCATCATCATCATCATCATCATCATCATCATCATCATCATCATCATCATCATCAGCATGATCATCATAACATCATCATCTCCATCATAATCAGCATCATCATCAGCATCAGCATCAGCATCAGCATCATCAGCAGCCTGATCATCATCATCATCATCACCATCATCATCATCATCATCATCATCATCATCATCATCATCATCATCATCATCAGCATCAGCATCATCAGCATCGTCATCACGATCATCATCATCAGCATCATCCGCATCACCATCAGCATCATCACCATCGTCATCATCATAAAAATCAGCACCCACATCATCAGCAGCAGCACCATCATCCTCATCGTCATCATCGTCATCGTCATCATCACCATCATCATCGTCATCAGCATCATCATCATCACCAGAAGCATCATCCACAGCATCATCATCTTCATTAGCATCATCATCATCATCATCATCATCATCATCATCATCATCATCATCATCATCATCATCATCATCATCATCATGATCATCAGCGTCATCATCAGCATCATCAATCCTTCCTTCACCGTCGGTTTCTTTTTTCCTCGTGTTCCTCCTCCTCTTCCTCTCCTCCTCCTTCCTTCCCTCGTCCTTCGCCCTTTCATAGAACTGTTCCTCCTCATATTTTTCTATCCTCCGTCTGTATGAACACCTCGCCTTTATCATGCCGCCTGACGAGTCCGTAGGCGTGGCCGGGCGGTTGGGACAGATTTGCAGCCTTCTGTCCTGGGGCCAAAAACGTCAAACAACGCTTCAAAAATGGAATGCCAATCGTTTTCAAAATACAGCTCTCGGCCTAGCGCCGCGAAAACATCCCAATTATAGGTCTGCGAAACATTCAATGATGGAGGCCATTCAATGTTTTACCCAACCCTCCTGCGTTGGGTTCTGGTTTTGAATACAGCACTGCGGTCGCACACCATCCCGCACTGTTTCCGCCATCCTGCCTCCTACGTCTTCCTCCCGTCTACTTCTTCGTGGGCTCCTGGGAGGCACGGCAGAGTAAGGAAGTACGCGCATGCAGCCGAGACCTAGCAACTCCCTGGGAGACTGCGAACTGCGCAACCGTCTCCGTCTTCGTGGGCTCCTGGGAGGCACGGCGGAGTGACGGAGTACGCAAATTCAGCCGGGACCTCGCAACTCCCTGGGTGGCTGCGACCTGTGCAACTGTCGCCACTTTCGTGGAATCCTGGGGGGCACGGCGGTGCAGCGGAGTACACGGACACAGCCGAGACCTCGCAGCTCCCTGGGAGGCTGCGAACTGTGCAACTGTCGCCACTTTGAAGGGCGTCTGGGAGTCTGGGAGACACGGCGGAATAGCAGAGCACGCGGATCCAGCCGAGGCCTCGCAGCTCCCTAGGTTGCTGCGAACTGGGCAACTGCCGCCACCTTCGTGGGTTCCAGGGCAGGCACGGCAGAGGAAGCGAGTACGCGCATCCAGCCGGGACCTCGCAGCTCCCTGGGTGGCTGCGAACTGCGCAACCGTCGCCAATTTCGTGGGCTCATGGGAGGTACGGCGGAGTGACGGAGTACGCAGATTCAGCCTACTCCCCTCAGCTCCGTGGGAGGCTGCGAACTGTGCAACCATCGCCACGCTCGTGTGCTCCTGCTAGGCACGGCGAGGTGGCGGAGTACGCGGACCCAGCCGAGACCTAGCATCTCTCTGGGTGGCTACGAACTGCGCAACCGTCGCCACGTTGTGCTCCTGCGAGGCACGGCAGAGGAAGTGAGTACGCGCATGCAGCCGGGACCTCGCAGCTCCCTGGGAGGCTGCGAACTGCGCAACTGCCACCAAGTTCTTTGGCTCCTGGGAGGCACGACGGAGTAGCGGAGTACACTGATCCAGCCAGGACCTCGCAGCTCAATGGGTGGCTGCCAGCTGCACAACTGTCGCCACTTTCGTGGGCTTCTGAGAGGTCCAGCAGAGTCGGGGGCCACGCGGACCCAGAGGAGACCTCGCTGCCCCTCCGGGAGGAAGCGAACTGCGCAACTACTCACCACTTTCGTAGGCTCCTGGGAGGTCCAGCGGGGTCGGGGGCCACGCGCACCCATTTGAGACCTCGCAGCTCCCTGGGTGGCTGCGAACTGCGAAACTGTCGCCACTTTCGTGGGCTCCAGGGAGGTCCAGCGGAGTAGGGAGCCCCGCGGATCCAACCAAGACCTCCCAGCTCCCTGGGAAGCCACGAAGTGCACAACGGTCGCCACTTCTGTGGGCTCCTGGGAGGCACGGCGGAGATGAGGGCAGCCCTGATCGTGCATACCTGGCGGTGTGTTCTTTCGCATGGAGCGTTCTTACAAGCACTTGCCTCGCGTGGAGAAAGAGTCGAGTACGCCACGGGCCTCGAGAGGGGGCTCTCGCCGTGGCGGCGCGCACAGAGCTTCGTCGCACGGCGCCGAGGAAGGGGGAGGGGACATGGGCGCGCACGAGGACCGAGCGGCAACTCCCAACTCGGGAGGGCAGCAGGTCGTCCACCGACACGACCACGAGGGACCTCGACTGCCGCTGACTCTGCGGAGCCGGGCAAGACACAGAGAGCAGAGAGAGAGAGAGAGAGAGTGAGGAGGAGGATGAGGAGGAGGAGGAGGAGGAGGAGGAAGGAGAAAGAGCAGGAAGAGAAGGGACAGTGGCGACAGTGCAATAATGGCAGATCGCTGGCGTGTGGCCGACTTGTGTATATCCAGGCCATCCAAATTGGACAACGGCGCATGCCCTCACGGCCGGGAGGAGGGAATCTCTGACCCATTACCCACAAGCCCACTCGATTCATATCTGTGTGTGATGCCATGCGTCTCGCATGTGTGCCGCAGGCGTGGTCGCAAGAGAAGGTGCAATGTCGGCGAGACTGCAAGGCCTATGTGATGCTCCGTCGGGCTGCTGCTACCGGCGAGGGGGCTGCTTAGGTTCTGCAAGGTGGAGCTCCCTGAAAAGGCACACAGCGTGCGAGGAGTGTGCCGAAATCGGGGAGGGCAGGGAAGGGGGAGGACAGAGAGAGTGACTTTCAAAACGCTAAATTGCTGACTGGCATGAGGAAGAAGTCCGATGCCACGCGGCCCACATCTCTGATCTCCGCCGCCGAGCGGAAGGCCAATCTCTGAAAACAAGTAATTTACCCTCTTAGGTCGAACTCCTCGTGTCTTCCACCGCGCATGACTGGCCGGGGGGGGGGCGCCCTCCTGCCCCGCCGTTGCCGCCCCCGTCCATCGCCGCGGCTGCCGTCGTTGGCGGGTTGCCCGCTGCTTTGGCGCTGGCCACCTCGTTTGGGCAGTGGCAATCCCCACGGCGTCATTGCCATCTTCCACGCAGTGCGGCCCAGGCTGGCGGCAGCGCACATGCATCTGAAAGCCTTCCAAGGATTGAGCCTGACAGCCACAGAGGACGCACGTGAGGGAAGGGGGGCCCACGCACGGGGTGGTTCCAGCACCTTCTGCGTTTTGCAACATATCCCGTGACTCTCTGTCGCTCAAAGTACCTGGCCCGTCGATATTGTTTCGGCGCGAACGAGCCCACGCACCAAGGACATTGGTTCATGATCACCAGGCTGGGGATCAGAGGAAGACAATTGTGCACCGCTCTCCTGTGCCCTGCCAGCGCCGCCGCCACAACGCATTGCGCTCCGCACACCCCCCCCCCTGCCCCAATTTCCCACTCGCGCCAAAACCGAGCCACCACCTCTCCACCCGCCGTAATACCAGGTAGCGCTGCGCCCCGAGCTTCTCCAGCGCGGCATAATATACAAGGGTCCGTCCCAGTCCAAACTTCCCAATCCCTCGTGCCCCTCTTGGACATTGGGATATCTGACTGCCTCTTCGGGCACCAGTTCCATACATCCTCGCAGACCTCCGCCAACGCCTGTAAGTACCTGGCCATCTGCTTGGCCCACGATTTGAAAAGCTGCGCCTGCCCATCCATAGTCCATTCCCAGACCTGGCAGAGGCTGTCCAACTTCGGCGTGCCAAAAACAGCTGCAAGCCCAATGCCAAAATCCCCAGGATGCTTCGCCACTTGTCTGTACCACCGTAGCCTGCGTATCATCAGGGCTGTCGAGCAGCGCGGTATCCTCCATCTCCAGAACACATCCTTGTTGGCGTAGCACGTGGTCGTACCGCCCGCTTCCAGCCAGCTCATCCTGCCTCCTGCCATCCTTCCCACTAGAAGGTCGAATGCCCTCAAATGACGTTATTCCCATACAATGCCGTCAAGCCGCGAAGGCCCGCTCCCGCGACAAACGCATGCCAGATATCATGTTTGATGTTGTCTGTTGTATCTGATGACCAGGACCACCCACACCGCCTGTCAGCCAGCTGCATGGCCTCGCACCTCCTCTATATCTCTCCTGAGTACCATTGATATCCTGGCAGGTACGGCCCCACTACTATCATCTCCCTCGTCGGCGTGCCCTTGATATGCTTCTCTCACTGCAGCTGTCTTGTGGTTCCGTCTCGCCATGGTCCTCAAAGAGCCACCAGGTGGCTGGAGCAGGAGGAGGAGGATGAAGAGGACGAGGAGGAGGAGGGAGGAGGAGGAGGAAGAAGGAGGAGGAGGAAGGAGGGAGGAGGGCGGAAGGAGGAGGAGGAGGGAGGAGGAGGGAGGAGGGAGGGGAGGAGGGGAGGAGGGAGGAGGGAGGAGGGAGGAGGAGGAGGAGGAGGAAGGGAGGAGGAGGAGGAGGAGGAGGAGCGAGGAGCGAGGAGGAGGGAGGAGGGAGGAGGGAGGAAGGAGGAGGTGGAGAAGGAGGAAGAGGAGAGAGGAGGGAGGAAGGAGGAGGAGAGGGAGGAGTGAGGAGGAGGAGGGGGGCGGGAGGAGGGAAGGAGGGAAGGAGGGAGGAGGGAGGAGGGAGGAGGGAGGAGGAGGAGGGAGGAGGAAGGAAGGAGGGAGGGAGGGAGGAGGAGGAGGACGAGGGAGGAGCGTGGAGCGAGGAACCCCCCCGCTCGCAGCCCTTCCCGCCCGCCTTGAAGAGCGCGGACACGGGCGCGCCCCGCTCGTCCACCCGCGCGTGGGCGCCGCCCGCCGAGGAGTACTTCAGGGCCCGCAGCGGCGCGGCGGGCACCTCCTCCGGCGGGGGGGGGGCCTGCAGCAACAAAGAACCAACTTATGGGGCCACGAAACGTGGCGGGGGGGGGGGAGCCGAAATGGGCATGCGGCGGGCGGTGAGAGCGCATGCGGACGCGGCAACTGGGGCCTTCGGTGGAGCTCCCTATGGGGCCACGAAACGTGAGGGGGGTGTGCCGAGATGGACATGCGAAGGGCGGGGGGGCGCATGCGGATGCGGCCCCTGGGGCCTTCGGTGGAGCTCCCTATGGGGCCACGAAGCGTGTGAGTGGTGTGCCGAAATGGACATGCGGTGGGCGGGGAGGGCGTTTGCGTGGGGCATTCGGTGGAGCTCCCTATGGGCCCACAAGCCGTGAGCGGTGCGCCAAAATGGACATGCGGTGGGCGGGGAGGACGCATGCGGACGCGGCCACCGGGGCCCTCGGTGGAGCTCCCTATGGGGCCACGAAGCGTGTTAGGGGTGTGCCAAAATGGGCATATGGTGGGCGGGGGGGACGCATGCGGACGCGACCTCTGGGGCCGTCGGTGGAGCTCTCTATGGGACCACGAGCCGTGTGAGGGGTGTGCCGAAATGAGCACGCGGAGGGCAGAGGCAAGGAGGGGGAAGAGGGAGGAGGGGGAGGAGGAAGGAGGAAGCAAGGAAGGAAGGTAGGAGGGAACGCGGGGAAGGTCTCGGTCTCTTCAACTTGAGGACCCAACAAACACCACACGATGGTTGGGAACAAAACAACACAGCAAACAAAAACAACAAACGTGAAGGGAAGGGAATTCAAAGGGACGGGAAGGGAAGAGGAGAGAAGGGAAGGGGTGGAGAAGGGCAGGGTGGAGAAAGGTGGGGCAAGAGGAGGAAGGGAAGGAAGGGGAGGGAAAGGGGCAGGGAAGGGAAGGGCGGGAGGCGGGGGGAAGGGAAGGGACGGGCAGGAGGACGGGAAGGTAAGGAGGAGGAGGGATGGGTACAGTGGAGGCCAGCCCACAAGAAACCTTCCACAAGAAACCCAACCCTGAGACCCCAGGACGCCCATCGATTTTCTGGTGTGGGAACGCCACGCTTCCCATAGCAAAACCATCGAAACCCAAGAAGCCCAGGGCGCCCTGGAGGCAAGCAAGGTGTCCCTTGGCAAGGTCTCCACTCTAGAGGGAGGGGCCACCTTTGCAATAACTGTGGCCGACGCGGGGCCCGGGGCCGGAGCACCCATGCACAGGAGGCCCGCTTCTGCGACAGGGGTAAGGGGTCCATTCGGACGCCCCTGGGCCAAGGGAGCGAGGAGGGAGGGGGGGATGAGGACGGCGGGGGCAGGGAGGAGAGGAGGCAGGAGGGCCGAGGGAGGAGGGCTTCTCCTCCTTCCAAGGAGGAGAGGAGGAGGGAGGAGTTGGAGGAGGAGGAGAGGAGGAGAAGGAGGAGGCGGAGGCGGAGGCGGAGGCGGAGGAGGAGGAGGAGGAGGAGAGGAGGAGGAGGAAGAGGAGGAGGAACGGAGGAGGAGGAGGAGGAGGAGGAGAAGGCGGAGGGGGAGGTGGAGGAGGAGGAGGAAGAGGAGGAGGAGGAGGAGGAGGAGGAGGGGGCGGGGGAGGAGCGAGGTGGGGGGCGGAGAGGAGGGGGGGGCGAGGGAGGGGGGAGGAGGGAGGAGGGAGAAGGGAGGAGGGAGGAGGGGGGGGGAAGGCGGGGTGTAGGACTCAGGAGGAGGGGCAGCCGCGAGCGCCCGAGAGACCGCGCCCGGGGACAGGCCCGACCCCACGGGCGGCGACCAGCGCGCGGCGAGTCGTCAGAGCGTCCCAGGTGGCTCCAAGAGACCACAAGACCATTCCAAGACTGGGAAACAATGACATACAAACTCACATCAACATAAAACCAGAACATTACTCACTGCGTGGACCTCCCCATATGCGCATCTCATGCTTTATGTCATGCCATAGTGAGCGTCTGTTCATGAGCGTCCTACCCCTGGCGGCTCCCCTTAGGGGTGCTGAAACCAGCGCCCCGCCTGAGACATCCTCACAATCTGCTCTGAAAGCAAAAGATGTTGGACATGAAAACGAGCAAGCCGCCGGAGACATCCGCACAAACTGGCCGCGAACGGGCCCGTGAGAACACCGCTGGCGGCTCCCCTTAGGGGTGCTGAAACCAACGCCCCGCCTGAGACATCCTCACAATCTGCTCTGAAAGCAAAGGATATGAGGCACGACAACAAGCAAACCGCCAGAGACATCCCCACAAACTGGCCGCGAACGGGCGCGTGAGAACACCCTTGGCGGCTCCTCTTAGGCGTGCTGAAGACATCGCCCCGCCTGAGACATCCTCAACATCTGCCCGATGCTGAATAACTCAGACGATGAGAAGGTCTGAGTATGCGTAGATCTGAGTATGTGTAAGTCTGTGTATGAGTACGACTGGGTATGAGTAAGTCTGAGTATGAGTAAATATGTGTATGAGTAAGTCTGTGCATGTGTACGTCTGGGTATGAGGAAGTCTGACTATGAGTAGGTCTGAGTATGAGTACGTCTGAGTATGCGTAAGTCTGTGTATGAGTAAGTCTGGGTATGCATAAGCCTGAGTATGTGTAAGACTGTATATGAGTACGTCTGGGTATGCGTAAGTCTGAGTATGAGTAAGTCTGGGCATGAGTAAGTCTGTGTTCTGGGCGTGTTCTTGTTCTCTGGCGTCGGCGGCGTCCAGGAAATAACAAGAACCCCATCTTAGGATATGGGGAAGTAACATTCACAAACTCACCAGGAAAGAGTAACATCCGCTCCAAGGGACGGAAAATTACATTAACATAAAAAATCGGAGGCCCGAGCTGAGTCCTCAGATCGGCGCTGGGGCCCCCTGGGGAAGCCTCGAGCGCTTCGCGCGCCAGGGAGGGGGGTCCAGCGCCTGTCCGTGAAATCCGCGCGGACCCCCCGAGTTCTTATGTTTATGCCACTTTGGGTTTCCCTACAGACGACTCCGAATGGCCACGGAGCCTCGTAAGGCTGCCCCCCTAGAGGCAATCCAAAATCTGCGGGACATCTATACGTGGTGCGCCTTCCCGCGATCTCGCTTCCGATGGGCCCTTGGGGCCCCGAGTTGGTTCCCAGATGGCCCGAAAAGTCGAGACGGCCCCAAGAGCGCCCAAGCGCGACACAAGGGGGCGCCAAGAGGTCCCCCAAGCGGGGATTCTCGGAGCTCTGAAGGGGCGCCGGCGCGAGGGCCCCAAGAGTTAGGTCGGGCGTGTCCCCCTACAGACGGATTTTGGACGAGAAATAAAAAGTAACCAACAAATGCCCCAAAATAACCCAGCAATACTAGAACAATAGTCCACCCACTAGTTTTGGAATATTTTTGAATATTCCCCCTGTGCAGGGACAAGCCCGACTTAAATATAGCTCCAAAACAACTTTACGCTCTCCAAGATGGCCCCAGCAAGAGGCCCCCGAGGGGGCACCGAAAACCTCCCAAACTGCCCCCCATGGGGGCCCAATGCTGCCCCGGCGAGTTGCCTAAAGGCTCCCGCCTCGAAAGGCTCGCGAAAAAAAACTGACGGCTGACTCCTGGGCTTGCTCGAGCCGATCCCGATATTCTGGTTGACGCCTGCCCCCCTCATGTGGTCCACTGCGTGCTCCCGCACTTCCGTGATCGATACGACTCGCCTGGGCATCCGTTCTGGATGGGCTGCTGGGGATACGTTTTGGCTAGCGGCTCCACGGCGACCGCCAGGGAGCGGGAGCGACGTCCGGGCCGGCGGAACAGTGCGAATTTGCGAATTTGCGAACGGAGAGGGGCGACGGCGAGCCAGCTCGCATAACTACAACAGAAGCAACTGCAGTAGGTCATGCAATGAAAGCAAATGCACGCGCACTAAGCAAAATGCTCTACATTCAGGAGCGGAGAATCGCCCTGCTGGCGCCAATCCGCGCGGCCGACCTAGTCCGGGCAGGTAGTACCCGGGTACCACAGCCGTAACGATGTCGGCACAGACGGGGCAAAAGAGGCCTGCTGGGGATACTTTTTTGATCTGCGGCCCAAAAGAAGAATCCAGAGGGCGGGTCAACCTGCTGGGGATACGCGAAGCGTCCATAATTGGCACCCCAACCGTCTCCTCGTTGGGACACTGCGCCAAGAACGCCTCGCGCTTGGAACGCCGCATGCGCCCGGAGAAGAACCAGTCCTGCGGGCAAAGCGAAGAAAGGCGAGCGAGAAGAGGTCTGAGGGTAAGCCCACTCGATCATGAGGCGTCGAGCGAACTGAACCCACGCAGCACCTGATCCAAGTGCCGGACGCGTGGACGGGTTACAGTAGGAGCTCGATCACAAGAAACCTTCCGCAAGTACCCCGACCCTGAGACCCCAGGACGTCCATTGGTCTCTGGCGCGATAGCGTCACGTCTCCATAGCAAAACCATCGAAACCCAAGAAAAAACCAGGGCACCCTAGTAGAGGAAGAAGAAAGAAGAAGAAGAAGAAGAAGAAGAAGAAGAAGAAGAAGAAGAACAAAACTGCATGAACATAATCGCTTGGCGCTCCGCGCGGACTTCCGCTCCCTGGCGGAGCGCCCCAAGGGCGGCGCCGGAGGCGCCGCGGGGGGGGAGCAGGCATGGATTCAAGAAAACTGCGCGAAGCGCCACCAAAACTTTAGGTTTGTGGCGTCCTTTCTCCTTCGAATCCTGGAGGCAAACAGGGTGCTTCTTGGCATGGACTTCCGCTGCAGCCAGCATGCTGCGCGGCGAGGGGCGGGAAGGAACAAGAAGACGAGAAAGACAGAAGGGAGAAGCCGGGCCCTCCTCACGGGAGGAAGGGGGCACACTGACGCAATCGCTCCTCAGCACTGACCTTCGCCGAGCCTCCTCCACCTCCACCTCCTCTTCCTCCTCCTCCTCCTCCTCCTCCGCCCTCCTCCTCCTCCTCCTCCTCCTCCTTCTCCTTCTACACATCCTCCTCCTCCTCATCCTCCTCA